GGCTCGGTGGCTCAGCCTATGATCCCAGCGCTTTGGGAGGCCGAGGTGAGAGGATTGTCTGAGCCCACCGGTTCAAGACCCACCCGGGCAACTTGGCAAGACCTCGTCTTTACAATAAATTAAAAATTAGCCAGGCGTGGTAGCGCGCGCCTGTAGTTCTGGCTACTTGGAAGGCTGAGGCGCTGGAGCCCAGCAGGTCGAGGCTGCAGTGGCCGGGAGCATGCCACTGCCCTCCAGCCTGAGTGACAGAGTGAGACTCCAACTCAAAAAAAAAAAAAAAACATGGGGTAAATAAGACAAGCAAAATGCTAGTTTAAGGCAGAAGATAAGTGTCCTGTGAGATAAAGAGGTGGTTTCAGACTTGGGGTAGGGGAAAGGAAGAAGGAACCTAATACTTTTTGAGAGTCCCCCATGTGCTAGGCACTTGCATGCTGGGTACAGGGATACAGATACAGTGGCTTCCCCCTTATCCTCAGCAATATGTTTTAAGACCCCAGTGGATTCCTGATAGTACTGAACCATATATATACTCTGTTTTTCCTATACATACATACCAGTGATAAAGTTTAATTTATAAATTAGGCTTCAGTAAAGGATTAACAATAACAAAATAGAACAATTATAACAATACACTATAATAAAAGTTATGTTAATGAGGTCTCTCAAAAGATTTTATTGTACTGTACTTACCTTTTTGATGATATGAGATAAAAAATGCTTACTGGATGAGATTAAGTGAGGTGAACGAGGGAGGCATTGTGATGTAGGCTACTGTAGACCTTCTGGTCTGCTTTGGGCCATCCTGGATTGACAGGCAATGTTGATATTGATGGTTGAATGTCAGGAGCAATGTCATGCCTGAAGGGTGGGGAGTATATACAGCATGGATACACTAGACAAAAGAATGGTTCATGCCCTGAGTGGGATGATACGAGATTTCATTGTGCTACTTAGAACAGCATGCAACATTAAACTTATTAATTGTTTATTTCTGGAATCTTCCATTTAATATTTTTGGATCATGGGTGACTGAAACCTGAGAAAGTGAAACTGTGGAGAATGGGAGACTACTATAAATGAAATAGACCCTGTCTTGAAGTTACTTTGCTCACAGACTCATTTGAGAAAAGACAAACCAAACAAAGACAGAGGAGACACCCCCCCTAATGAATCATGAGGTTAAAGGACTTGAGGAAGGGTTGTGAAAAAGGGAAGCTGTGGTATAGTGGGATATCTTACAGTATTCTTATGCACCAGGCATGGCCTAGGTTTAAATTTCATTTCTACTGTTTACTATTTATATATGACCTACCATGTGTTACTTCTTGCCCTACCCCGTCTATAAAAACATAATAGTACCTACCTCATCATTGTATTTAAAGTATTAGACAAGACAATGCATGCAAAGGGTTTTGCATTGTGTTTAGGGTATAATATGTGTTTAGCAAATGTTTTTATGTATTTAGCTTTTGTTGTCTAGAGGAAAAGATCCTTCAGTTCATTCTAAAAGATCAGGGGGCCTGGTACAGTGGCTATAATCCCATTACTTTGGGAGGTGGAGGCAAGAGGATTGCCTGAGCTCAGGGGTTCGAGACCAGCCAGAGCAACATGGCGAGACCTTGTTTCTACAATAAATTTAAAAATCAACTGGGCATGGTGGCACCTGCCTGTGGTCCCAGCTACTTGGGAGGCTGAGGCGGAAGGATCACTTGAGCCCAGCAGGTCGAGGCTGCAGTGGCCATGAGCGTGCCACTGCACTCCAGCCTGGATGACAGAGTGAAACTCTGACTCCCCCTCCCCCAAAAAAAGATTAGGGAAGTTAGTCAAGCAAAGAAGGAAGTGGAAGATTTTCTAGGTGGAGGTACTAATGTATTCTAAAAGCATGAAGGCATGAAACTCTATGGCATGTTGGATGCAGGTGGACCTAATATTTGAGATGGATCGCAAGACTTGAGTGTGGGGAAAAGGGGATCAAAGAGGAATATAGGATGTCTCTCAGACTTCTCTCTTTGGTAGATAAAGGACATAAGGAATACAAGGAGATGAACAAATTTAGGGTGGAAATGTGAGTTTAGTTGAGGATTTTGAGTTTTGTTTGTTTGTGGGACATCCGAGTAGAGACATTTAGTAGGTAGTTTGATTTATAAATCTTGAAATACAGAAAAAAATCTGAGTTGGAGATGCAGGTTAGAGAATTGAGTTTATGGATGGTAGAAAAGACATGGTTGTGGATGAAAATAATCACTTTTTGAAGGTTGTAAGGTAAGTGAAAAAAAGAAGTGGGATGAGGGCGAAACTGCTACTGGTTTTGTTGTTGTTTTTGAGTAAGAGTCTCACTCTGTCACCCAAGCTGGAGGGCAGTGGCACACGCAAGGCTACCGCAGCCTTGACCTGCTAGGCTCAGGCCATCCTTTCGCCTCAACCTTCCAAGTAGCTGGAACCACAGGCATGTGCCGCCACACCTGGCTAATTTTTTTTTTTTTTAAATCATAGAGATGAGGTCTCACCATGTTTCCCAGGCTGGTCTCGAACCCATGGGCTCAAGCAATTTTCTCTCCTCGACCTCCCAAAGTGCTGGGATTATTGGAGTGAGCCACCGCGCCTAGCTGAAATTGCTATTAGAGGAGAGGTGGAGGAAGAGAAGCCCTCAAAGGAGACTGATGAAATGTGATAATTGAGCTCCTAGGCTGTCTCTTGATTATCATTGTCTGGCCTTTGTGTTCCAGAGAGAACACTGGGTAAAAAATACAAAATTTATCACTGCTGAAAATCTGAGTTACATATGTCCCTTATAAGCAAGATGGAAGTAAGTAACATTCTGTTTTACTTTCTGTTATTTAATTACTGGCATTTTAAGTAGGTTGTATTGTCCTCCTTTTATAGATGAGGACATTTGAATATCAGAGGCCTTAGTTAACTTACCCAACGTCAGTAACTGGAAGAGCAGGGTTGTTATACATAAGCATCAGGCAGCCTGTAATCCCAACACTTTGGGAGGTGGAGGTGAGGGAATTGCCTGAGCCTGCAGGTTTGAGAGTAGCCTGGGCAACAGGATGAGACCTCATCTCTACAGTAAATCAAAAAATTAGCCAGGTGTGGTGGTACATGCCTGTAGTTCTACTTGGAAGGCTGAGATGGAAGGATCGCCTGAGCCCGCAGATTGAGGATGCCGTGGCAGTGAGCATGCCACTGCACTCTAGCCTGGGCGACAGAGTGAGACTCCTACTCATAAAAGAAAAAAAAAAAGAATCGGCCAGCCCTATTTTTGTCCACTTATACCATGATTACATTAGATGTATTTGAACTGAGCCCTGAAAGTTTGGATGGGTTTGAACAAGTAGCAGTGGGAATAGAAAATACGAACTAGGATAAGAAGAGAAGAGTTGGGGAAAGCTGGACTGACATGAAGTGCAATGACTGGGTAGTTTAGCTAAATCATGAGATATAAGAAAGATGTCCATAAAGTAAAGCCATAAAGGTCTTTGTGTACATGGCAGGGAATTTTTATTTTTTATTTTATTTATTTATTTATTTTTCTGAGTTGGAGTCTCACTCTGTCGCCCAGACTGGAGTGCAGTGGCCGCTCCCGGCCACCGCAGCCTTGACCTGCTGGGCTCCGGCGATCCTTCTACCTCAGCCTTCTGAGTAGCTGGAAGTACAGGCGCGTGCTACCACGCCCGGCTAATTTTTTTATTTATTGTAGAGATGAGATTTTGCCATGTTGCCCAGGCGGGTCTTGAACCCACGGGCTCAGGCAATCCACTCACCTCAGCCTACA